TGTCTAAGGAATGTGTTATCCTAGAAGAAAAATGTAAAAGGTTAGAGTCTAGGGCTGATGAGAGGGACAACACAAATACTGAGTTGAAGAACCAGGTTCATCAACCTGAAAATAAGATTCTAGAACTTAGATCTGAAAATATTAAACTGAAATTAGGGACAGGAAAGAAAAGGACTGATCAATCATTTCTCACCCCAGAAGAAAATCTAGGAAAAATGAAAGATGAACTGTACAAGAAAGATGAATTGATTAAAGTCCTAAAAGAAGATTTAGGAAAGGTAAAACATGAACTAGACAGAACATGCAAATGGAACAAGGCTTCTGATGCACTCTCCTGGCTGCAAGAACATCATAGTAGCAACAAGAGAGGACTTGGATTTGGGACACAAGCTCCAAAATGGGATCCCAAAAACAAATATCTCACACTTCCTGAGAATAAGATCTGCACACACTGTGGTAATACTGGCCATTACAAAAATGAATGTAATGCAAGAGAAAAGGCCAGTCAAAAGAACAAAGCCTTTGTTCAAGAAAAACACAAACTGCCTGGTGTGGGCAAAGAAAAATTTAATTCATCCTTTTGCCCATAGAAAGGGACCCAAACTAGTTTGGGTTCCTAAGACTAACCCCTGATTTCATTTTGTAGGTTCAAGTGAAAGGGAGGAGCCAAATATGGTATATGGATAGTGGCTGCTCAAAACACATGACTGGGGACAAGGACCAGTTCCTTTCACTTGAGAACCTAAAAGGAGATAATGTCTCCTTTGGAAATGGAAAGAAAGGTGAGATCATTGGGGTTGGTAAGGTAGGCAAGACTGATTCTCATTCCATAGAGAATGTCTACCTGATATATGGTTTGAAATATAGCCTAATAAGTGTGTCACAACTGTGTGACAGAGGTAACCTTGTAGCTTTTACCTCACCAGTGCTTTGTGTATAATCTCATCACTGACAAAATTGTTTTGCAGGTAAAAAGAGTTAAACAATATTTACATTGTNTGGTGAGCGGGTTCTGCTTCGGGTCTCGCCTATGAAGGGCGTCATGAGGTTTGGAAAGAAAGGGAAGCTGAGTCCGAGGTTTATTGGCCCTTTTGAGATCTTGAGGCGAGTTGGGGAGGTTGCTTATGAGCTTGCCTTACCTCCCAGCTTGGCCGGAGTTCATCCGGTATTTCATGTTTCGATGCTCCGGAGGTATCACGGTGATCCGTCGCACGTGTTGGATTTCAGTTCAGTCCAGTTGGACAAGGATCTATCCTATGTTGAGGAGCCAGTGGCTATTTTGGACAGGCAGATCAGGAAGTTGAGGTCAAAGAAGATAGCTTCAGTAAAGGTCCAGTGGCGGGGTCAGCCGGCCGAGGAGGCGACTTGGGAGACCGAGCAGGATATGCGCAACCAGTACCCTCATCTTTTCACTTCTTCAGGTATGCTCTCTATACTCGTTCGAGGACGAACGAATGTTTAAGTGCAGGAGGATGTAACGACCCGGCCGGTCGTTTTTGGAATTTATGCCCCGATCTCCCATTAACTGCTTCCCCTAAGTTCATTTCTGCTATTTTGGTTTGCCGGGACGTTCGGTGTTGGGATTCGGAGTGTTTTGGGACACTTAGTCCCTAAATGAGAGCTTAAGAATTAAAAAATGGTCCGTAATCGGAACAGTGTGAAGACGACCTCGGAATGGAAATCCGATGGTTCTGTTAGCTCCGTTAGGTGATTTCGGGGTTGGTAGCGTGTTCGGAATGTATTTTGGAGGCTCGTAGCTCATTTAGGCTTGAAATGCCGAAGTTTGAATTTTTGAAGTTTCCGGTCCGATAGTGAGTTTTTGATCCGAGGGTCGGATTGGAATTTCGGAAGTTGCAGTAGCTCCGTCATGTCATTTGGGATGTGTGTGCAAAAGTTCAAGTCATTCGGGCGAGGTTTGGTTTGGTTTTTGATTGAAAGTGTGTTTTGTTGGAATTTGAAGTTCTTAGGCTTGAATCTTTGATTTAATCGGACTTCCGGTGTTGTTTTAGGTGTTTTAAGGATTGGTACAAGTTTGAATAAGGTATTAGGTGGTATTGGTGCTTTTGGTTGAGGTCCCGGGGGCCTCGGGATAATTTCGGGTGGTTAACGGGGAGATTTTTAAAGTGTTGCAGCAGCTGGTTCTTTTCATCTTCTGGTATTTTCGCTTCTGCGGCTCGGGAACCGCAGAAGCAGAGCCGCATAAGCGGCTGGATCATCGCAGAAGCGGTTTGGGGCAGAGTTTCCAGGCGCCGCAGATGCGGAGGAAATTCCGCAGGAGCGGCCTCGCATCTGCGAGAAAATAGCCGCAGATGCGGCCGTTTGGCGTTTAGTTGGAACCGCAGAAGCGGTGGATAATCCGCATAAGCGGAATCTTATAAGCGGTTGACTGGACCGCAGAAGCGGATGTGGTCGTTTAGTGAGAGTCGCAGAAGCGGCTCACTTTCCGCATAAGCGGTCCCTTGTCCGCAGAAGCGGAAATCCCTGGGCAGAAATAGAAATTTCGAGGGTTTGAGTTCATAAGTTACAAAAATCAATTGAGAGCTCGGTTTAAGGCGATTCTGAGTGGGAGTTGAAGTGAAGATCACTGGGTAACGTTTCTTTGGTCCCTTCTTGTTATATTTCATCATTATATAGTTAAATCCACCATTAGAATTCGAATTCAAGGTCAAAATTTGGAAAAATTGGAAGAAACTTCATAGACCTAATTATTGAGTTTTGAGTGGGCAATTGACCTCCGATTTGGGAGATTTTTATATGGTTAGACTCGTGAGAGTACGAGGGTTCTGAAAATGTGAAAATTATTCGATTCCGAGACGTTGGTCTGAGGGGCGTTTTGGTCACTTTACCTATTTTCGCGTCCTAGCCTTAAATTTAATAGTGGGATCAGTTGTTTGCAATATTACTTACGATATGTAATTGAATTGAATAGACTTCGACCATTTGGAGTCGGATACTCGTGGCAAAAGTGTGATTTCGAGTTGATTTTGGTGCCGATTCGAGGTAAGTGGCTTGTCTAACCTTGTGTGGGGGACCTTTCCCCTTAGGATATGATATGTGGTAATTGAGTGCCTTGTACGTGAGGTGACGAGCGCGTGCTTGAGCTAATTGTTGAAAAATCCGGTTTTCTTAAGATATTGAGATTGAGTTCCTTTCATATTTGCTTTATTCCACTTGTAGTTATAACCTGTGTTAGACTAGAAAAGCATGTTTAGTTGATTTAACTTGCCTAATTGTTTAAGTTGCCTTGACTGTACTACGTGAAGCATGCTAGGCTAGTACTACCTGATGTTTGTCTTTTGTACTTCATTTCTGAATATCTTCTGGTTATGGTTGCGCATTTACATTGGGACTACGGATGTGGGATTCCGGTAGCTCCCCCCTTGTTTGTTTACTTTGGGACTACGGGTTCGATTCCCGGTAGATCCCCCTGCACTTTTACTTTGGGACTGCGGGTTAGATTCCCGATAGATCCCTCTGCACACTTATAGTTGGGCTACGGGACGGTATCCCGGGAGATCCTTCGGATATACACATATGATGGACTACGGGACGGTATCCCGGGAGATCCACTGGACAGTTGAGAAAAGGACTACAGGACGGTATCCTGGGAGATCCTCATTGTTACCATTGGTGTTGAGTTGTACTTATTCTGTGGTTGTTCCGTTCTTGTGTATTTGATATTGCCTTGCTTAATCTGTCTTATATCACTGCTGTATTTATTATTTCTGTCAGATTATCATACTGTTAATTATTGTATTACTATATTTTGTCTCAGTATGGCCCTGACCTTCCTCGTCACTACCTAACCGAGGTTAGGCTTGGCACTTACTGAGTACCGCTGTGGTGTACTCATGCCCTTCCTGCACGTGTTTTTCATGTGCAGATCATCCAGGTACCTCTACTCAGGCGCCCTATCAGTGAGGCAGGAGGACTACGGAGACTTCGAGGTAGATCTGCTGCGTCCGCAGACCGACGAGTCTCCCTCTTATTCTATCTTTGGTACTTAGTTTTTCCTTCTTTCGGTTGTTAGAAATTCTGGAGTTTGGAACCTTTACTATACACTTCTGTAGCCTGTGTTGCCCGTGAGTTTCCGGGTTTTGGGAACTGTTTTAGACTTGTGATATTGAGTTGTACTTGCCAAGCGGCATTCAGTACAGTTTCTTTTAGATATTTGATTTGATTTTCTCTATTTTTCCGCAATTAATATATTTCCGCAAATGTTAGGCTTACCTGGTCATGGGGACCAGGTGCCGTCATGACATGTTCATGGTTGGTGAACTAGGGTCGTGACATATCAACTATTGACTTGGGGAGAATCATGAACATCTTTTTAATGCAAAAACAAAAGAGACATGAGAAAAAAGAATTGTCTTCAAATAACTATAGTACTACCTCTAACCACAAGGCTACCCAAAAATTTACCTACAAGGCCAACACCATCTTCTGCTATGAAACATAAGATGAAGGTGAAGCAGTAAGAGGCTCATGATGATCAATCTTAAATTTATGGGCAAATCAAGTTACTAAAATATTAGTTGGATTTTGCAAAACCTTTACTTAATAATAAAATATTCAATATTCATTAGCGACTCGATATATAATCAAACTGGTACATAGCACAATCTATGGAATAATGAGAACAATTTAATAAACAAGTAAGAAGTTAACAAATTCTAATATAAGAGCGTACCATGAGAAGATGAAGTATTTTCACTAACACTATGCATTCGTTGCACTTGTGCTACTCGTTCATATCCACTGTTGCCATCAGGGACCTGATTAATATTAGCAAGTTATATAACATTCATTTCATAAGATCATTAAAAAATTTGAAAAAATATCTTAAACTTTGGAAGTTGAGTTACCTGTTCAGTTGAGAATCGATTGATATTCTGGGACAATAACTCATTAGGAGCAATTTTGGACATGATTTGTCTCATCCATAATAATTCTTGTTTCATCAAACTCGTTTCTTCATTTTGTTTTCCGTTTAACTCTGTTAACTCTGTTACCTTTTGTTCTAACCTTCTTATATCATTACACGAATCCTCTGGAACCAAATTTTCTATGGAAGATTTACTACCCCACAGTATAGAAGGAGTTGGACTAAGTCCCAAACCTCGAACATACCCACTTTTTTCATTTCCCAACACTTGAGAATATACATCTCCTTCCCAAGCAACACTATGGGGAGGCTGGTCATTTGATCTCTCAGTACTACTCCTCAATTTTTCATTTATCATGTCCTAATTAGACAGAGTTGTCAAAGATAGTAAATCCATTAAAAAACAACAAAGAATTGCTAAAAAGAAATACCTTTAGATTAGGAGGAGGTATTTTGAGCAACAAAATGCAAAGAAAATTGCTGAACTTGAATTCAACTAAACCAAAAGAAATTCAAAAATTAAAAAGATAGAGAAAAAATCTTACGATTGTCCTTGAAGACTCCACATCAAGTGGTCGACCATCCTTACATTTTTTATGAGTTAAAATGAAAACTTGTGCTTGTGTAGGCTCTATTCCATTTTCAGCCTAATACAACAAAACCAATATCAGTTATGCATGATAAAAAGTATTTTAAAATATTATATTTTGTAATTTTTACATGAACACCTTCCCTCTTGTTTTCGGGAAACGATTTGATAAGTCATGAATCAATTGAAAAATATACATTAGAGTTTTTACAATACTAATTCAAAACTAACACTAACTCCAAAAGTACCCCAAAAAGAAAACAAAACAAAGTGGTGAATAATTAGTGAAGTGGCTGCTGGTTAGAAAATGATCTAATGTAGTGTTTTTAGGAACTGGTGGTGACACCCAAGAATGAGAAAGAGCTCTATGTGCATTGGTGTTTTCTTTCTTAAAAATTTTGAATTCATGCATCATCCAGTTAGTATTAATGCCTTTTGCATCTCAACTTTTGTAGGAAAATAGTGATTTCTTTAAGCCAATTCATTTAGATCCTTCGGAAGAGTAACTTGGCCTATTAGTACCTCTGACTTTCTGAAAATCAGGCCGAGTTACTTGATTTGGCCTTGCACTATGTCTATACTTTCTATCCCTTGGACAGTAGAAATACCATTCTTTTCTCCAACTGTTGCCAATTTTGGTAGATCCCATGGATCATACTTACAAGGAATCTATCTATTGATCTTCCTTGTGTTAGACTTAAGAACTTAAAACTATTGGAAGTAAGATAAGAAGAAAAAACTTTATAGTATGCACTCCAAACAGATAATTTGAAGAGAGAAGTCCAATCACATGAATACCTTCTCAGCCATCAAGGTGGCAATACTTTTGAATCCTCCAGTGTGAGGCATATTTTGCTTGACCCTGTTATTTCTATTTGCTTGTGTTCTCCTCTGTCATTGCAACATAAGAATACTATTTTATAATTTATACATAAAAACTATCCAAGAAAAAAAATTAAAAGTAGTTAAGTGTGTTTTTAGGACATATGAAGTTGATACCTTAGCTTTATCAGAGAGCCAATAAGAGACGAGACCAGTCCACTGATCTCTAGGTATACGACTTGGTCTATTTTTCGGTAGAGCATCTTTGGTCTTATACTTTGATGTATACTTACTTTTTAAATCACACTTGTAATCTTTCCATTTCTTTCCTAGTGACTTTATGACATACCTTTCTCCCCGTGTTGGGATAGAGAACTTCTTCTGGAAAAATAAAGCAAACGTTTACAAGAAAAAATTATGTATAACAGAAATAAAATATTATTAGATTCACATTATTAATAGTATAGTAATAATAATAATAATAATAATAATAACAACAACAACAACAACAACAACAACAACAACAACAACTCCATACCCTCATAAACTCCACCAATTTCTTCTTTCTTCTTTGTCAAAACTTCTCCAATCATCTATATGTAATGGAGTTAGTTCTGGAGTTCTAGCGACAATCCCTAGAAAGCTAGCAAGCTTCCGACCCTCTTTCCCAATGAATTGGTTACGGCTATTGAATTGCACATCAATTCTCTTTCCCGGAGGCATCTTCCAAATATCTTTTAATAATGTAGGTCCACGAACTTTCCTTGCCTCTGAATTATCTAACATAAAAAAGATTCAAAGGCCATGAAATCCACCTAGTCACCTACTCATAAATAACAATACTAAAAGAATGATATCTCAGTTATGAAGAACAACTTTTCCTTATTGCTAAAGAATGAGATCTGAAATCTCAACAATGAAATGAAATGGCTCAACAAAATTTTTGCTTATTTTTTGAAAGATAACTTTTCCTTATTGCTAAAAGAGGAAAAATAAAAATTAATAAGTGGTTAAAACTGTGTTCTGATTCTCAGTTGCATATGTTAGCTAGAGGATTGTTCCTACTTTCTAAAATTTCTTGCTAGAAAAGTTTAGTTCAATCTTTTGATAAGCTTTATCTAGTCTACTAGCTAAACTCTGTCTGTTAAAGGACCATTCCATGATTAGATATAGATTCATTCTGAAAAATATGCATATATTATCAAAATCTTATGGATGGTTTTACAGCTAGGAAAGCAAAATACTCCCAAAAAGGATTAAGCAGGCATACCTCAATGTAAAATAAAGAATCAAGCAAGTGTGCTTCTTATTTATACAGGTATCCATCAATAAAATGCATATGAATTTAATAGACTTGATAAGTCACGTGTCTTTTAGAAAGTACAAGGAATACATGATTTCAGTGGCTTCTTCACTACACTTCATGAGAAAATACATTACCATTCTATGTGTAGTTTCCATATTTTGACATCTTATATCTGGAAAGTCTATATTGAAACCTCTTGAGATGTATCAAAAAAAATGCAACAATCAACAAAACTGTAAAAAGAAGACAAATTTCACTTCCCAATTAGACAAATGATCATTATTAGCTTATGTAAATGTACATGAATAAAAATATTAACAGTTGGAGTAAACTCTACGTATAAAAACACTAATTAAAAACTATTTTTTTGATATACTTACCTAACTTCTTTCCAGAAAGAAGCCTTATTCAACTTCGGAACAACAAATGTAGCATTTAAAGTCAAGTAGAAACAACCACAATACCCTACTGTTCCCAAATACATTAAGCAGAATGACATCTGCTTTCTACCCTAAATCCATAAAGGATCAGATTGGTAAAGTTGATACAGTGGTGTAACCGCATGTCTCAAATAAACAAAGCAAATTGGTGATTGACCTTATCATTTTCTCAAGACCAGTTATGATTCATAAACAATAAAATATTTTTAAGATATCGAACCTACTGTCACGACCCGGATTTCCCACCCTCGGGAGTCGTGATGGCGCCTACTCGTAGAAGCTAGGCAAGCCAAATTTAACTACTTTTTGTTAACAACATAATCCCTTCTTAATGATTATTGGCAATAATATAAAAGCAACGAGATTAAATAATAAGCGGAAGTCTTAGTTATAGAAAACTGAAATGAAATGCGGAATATTCAATATAAACCTCTACCCAAGAATGGTGTCACAATACTCACGAACTGCTAAGAGTACTAAATACAAGCGTCTGAAAGAAAACATAAGCTGTTTGTCTCGAATACAAAGAGATAACAGACTAAAAGAGAGGATAAAAGAGACGTCGGGCCTGCGGACGCCAGCAAGCTACCTCGGAACCTCCGGACTGAAGTAAGCTCCCAACGCTCCTACTGCTGACCAAAGGCTCCTGCTCTGGTACTATGATCTGTGCAAAAAGCACAGAAGTGTAGCATCAGCACAACCGACCCCATGTGCTGGTAAGTGCCTGGCCTAACCCCGGCGAAGTAGTGACGAGGCTAGACAGGACCTACCAAAAACAACCTGTGCAGATATATATATATAAGGCAACAGAAAATAACAACAGAGAATATCAACTAAAAGGGGAAGGGGGCATGCTCGGAAAAATACAGCGAATACATATCAATGGATATAACGACGAAACTATCTCAATACCATAGCTCAT